CGGGGCAGTGCAGATAGATGTGGGAGAGTTTTCAAAGGAGACAGGAAGGAGTTCAGCTGCAGCCGGAGGGAGGAGAGAAGGTGAGAGGATCCGAGGCCAGAGCAGGAGTTCTTAACTGTAGGCTGATGGCTGACTTCGGATTGACTGAACCCATTTGAATCAGAACATCCTCAAAAATCGGAATTTTCCACAAGTTTCCCGGGTGATTCTGATGGGCAGGCAATATTGAAACCTCTCTGTTAGAGAGACATGGAGACACAGCTAGACAGAGCCAGAGGGACAAAGAGGGGTAAGATCAAAGGCAAACGCTGAGGCAGGGATGTCGGAAGCCCGGGTCCAGGCCCGGTCTACCTACAGCTCCACCCACCCACCCCCACACCCGGTAGGCGGAGTAAACGCGTTGCCCGGCGACAAGCCCAAACACCTAGAGCCTGGGGGAGTAGGGAGCATCTAGGGGGCGGGAGAAGGGGCAGCCTGGCACGGTCTGGCTGTTCTGGGAGGACCCCCAAAAGGACGAACTCTTGTGGGTCAGAGCTTGAGGTAGCGTGTGTGCCACTTCCAGGAGGCCGGGATGGAGACAGCAGTACGAGGAATGCCCTTGGAGTACCCTCCTAAACCGGAGCGACTTAATGCCTACGGTAACGGGTGGTGGGGCGGTTGAGCCGAACGGGTAGGAGAGGACAGAAGGATGGCGGGATGGGGACCCGGGGGACGGGGCGGAGGCAGGGTCCTGGAGAGGGTGTAACCCTGTCTCTATCTGTCCCTGTTTTTGCCTCCATCTCCTCCTGTCTCTTCCCATTCCTGTGACTCTGTCTGCGTCTCCCGGGCTCGGGGTCCGCGGGCGCAGAGCGCGACGTGGTGGTGAACATGCTGAACTCGCTGTCACGGAACCAGCCGCTGCCGCAGATCGCGCCCCGGTGCGGGTGCGTGGACCCGCTGCCGGGCCGCCTGCCCTTCCAGGGTTATGAGAGCGCTTGCTCGGGCCGCCACTACTGTCTGCGCGGGATGGACTACTACGCCACCGGCCCGCCCTGCACCGAGCGCCGCCTGCGGCCTCTGTGCGCAGAGCTGCCGACTGTAAGGTTCGCCGGGCCGCGCGCGCCTCAGCCGGGCCCCGCCCCCAGAGCCCAGGCCCGCCCCTAGATCCCGTCCGCGCGCTCCACCCCGCGCCGCTTCCAGCTCTCGGCTGCCTCGGGGCCAGACCCGCCTCTAGCCTGCTCTGCCCCCGTACTGGGGCGCCTGTCCCGCCCTCCGGACCCAGGACCTGAGCAGACCGCTGAGGCGGGAAAGCCTGCACGAAAGTTCCCCCAAGTTCCCGACCCTGTCCCTCCCAAACTGGGCTCAGGGTCAACTGGCTCCTGTATCTGTTCTGAGGGCCCCGCCGGGGGATTTTTTGAGCAAGAAACCCCGCACACCAGTCGCGTCCCCTTCCCACGCCCGCCGGCCCCGCCCCCTACCTGGACACCCGGCCCCGGAGACGCAGGTTCTAGCCTGCGGAGTGCCATGTGTCCTCAGAAAAGTGTCCTCTCTTTCTGGGCCTCGGGTCACGGTCAGTAATGGGCAGGGTCATTGCCGGGTGCTAAGTGAGCAAGGAAATGGTGACCGCATTACCAGAGGGGCCCTCGGAGCCCCGCGCCACCTTTGGAGGGAAACAGCCTCGCGTGTGACTGCCGAGGCACTGAGGCCCGAGCGCGCAGCCGCAGCCCGACTGCCGCGCAGCTTTCTCCCTGCGCCCGGCGGAGACAGGGCGGGCCGAGCCGGAGAACTCCAGTGTCTGCGTCCGTCTGGAGAGCTGCGAGGAGGTCCTGAACCCTGTCCCTAACCCTCTGGTGATCCTCTGCCCCTCCCCAGGCAGAGAGCCTGATTCATTGTGCGAGACTGGGTCTTATTCCTCGCAAGGGCCTGGGGGAGCGAGAAAGTGCCTGAGCCTCAGAAACGTCGCCTGGTCGATAGTGCTGGAGTAATTGCCGTCCCAGGGCGAGGATCCAGGGGCTCCCAGGTCCTCCCCAGAGTCCAGCGTGCTCCACGGCCCACTAGGCGGCAGGAACGACGCCTTACGGGGAGGAGGACTTCCAGGTGTCTTCCCAGGGGGATGTTTCGATGGGGTCTCGAAGGGCCAGGAGGCCGGAGGGGAGCATCTCCGAGCCGTAGGACTGACACCTGAAGCGCCGCTCAGAGTCTTGGTCTGGGTTTAGGGATAGCGGGAAAGCAAAGGGCCCTACCCCTCCCTGCCCACCGCTTCCTCCTCCAGGAGTGTATTGCCCTACGAGCACCGGCCCGGAATGCAGTGTGCTGTTATAACTCCCCCGCCGTCATACTACCCATGTCCGAACCTTAGGTAAGTCTGGCGCGCACACATGCAAATACACAAGCCCCCGGCGGCGGGGAACCCAAGGACTAGTTGGGGTGGAGACTGTCCACTGCGATGCACTGACTGGAAGACGCCACCAGGGGGCGCTAGTGCCATGGGCACTTCAAAGCTGGCGGGGAAATGGAGGACCCCATGAGAGGGCGTGGAGGCCGCATTGAGGGGTTACAGGTTGGCAGTGGGGCTTAGAGTCATGAGATCAGGGCATTACAGTAGAACCTGAGGTCAGGAGGTCAGTGTTGGAGCCTAGGGTCAGTATTAGGGGCAAAATGTTGGAATAAGGTTAGCATTGAGAATTGGAATCAGGCATAGGAGGGTCCAAATGGGTTGGCCCATCTCTCCCCACAGATGGGACACAAGTCACTTCAAGAAGACTGGTGGCCTCCAGAGAAACAACTATGTTGTCCACCCTGAGTTTGTGTCTGAGACCTATCCCGACTACCACTGCTGGTAGAGCCTGGGCTGGCCGGGCCAAGGGGGCTGAGCAATCAATAAATTCTTCACCCCAAAAGCTGCCTCCTGTGTCCTTACCCAGCAGGATCTGGCAGTGAGAAACCAGTCACTCAGGCCTCCTCAGATGAGATGCAGTTTCTCAAAGTCATCTTGCCCTGAGCCCTCCCTACCCCCATCATCTCAGTACTTCCCTTGGGTGGCCCTGAGGGCCCTCCGGACAGATGACAGTAGCCTTATATCCAGCTGGTGTCCTCTTCCCCTCCACCCCAGAGCCCAAACTAATGGGTCTACCTAGCCATGCAGGGAGGGCCCATCTACCTCCCAGCCCAAGAGGGCCCTCCCACTGGCATTTCCCCCACATCCCCCAAACTTAGATGCCCCCTCACCCCACCATCTCAGTAGACCCAGAATCCTCCATTCTGCAGTCAGAGCCCTGTCCCTATACCCAAAGCTCTTGATCTCTGCCCCCCGAGCCTCCATCACACATAGATCCCCCAAAAGCCTATGTTTAGACACCCTTGCTGCCCTCCCCACCCAAGTCCAAGGGGTCCAAAATATAATTTTAGAGAGTATCATGACCAAGAAATTTCAAATTAGGAAACAAAGCCCTGTTTCTCTGTCCCCCAGGGAGCAAGAGGTGGGGTGTTCTGGAATCTCTGGGATCTTCAGTATTTTTGCACCCCACTTCCCCTTGGGGCAGAGGTATGGCGGGGCACACCCACGTCCTCGCAGCACGGGCATTTCTAACTGCTGTTACTACAGGGGAGGAGGAGGTTTGCAAAATACTGAGAGGAAGCCGGTCTTCTCAGCTTGGGCTTCCCAGCTGGTGGAACTAGGATCCCCCATGGGGTCCTTGATTGGATCCGCCCTGCACTGAGCCGCTGAGATCCTCCCGGAATTCTGCTACCTTTTTCCACATGGGAAAACTTTTTCCATATGGATAGCTGGTGACAGCGTTGTACCTAGACGGCCTCCACCTGCGCAAATCTGGAGGGGAAGGAATCCCAAGGGCCAGCCCTGCCTCTTGACCCTGCGGCTCGCTCCTTCTCATACACATCCCAAATTTAGCCGAGAGGTGCAAGAAGACCAACATTCTACAGCAGCTCCTTCTTCCAGAACTACGCTTCCCAGCAAACCCGGGGCAGAGCCCCGCCCGCAGGTGGTAAGCTCCTGCCCAGCGGGGGCGGGCCTGCAGGCGGGGGGCGGAGCCAGGATGCACCCGGCTTAACCGCGGCCTGAGATGCCCGGAGACGGGTACCGAGCTTTAGGAGGAAGGTGGGAGCCAAGGGGCGGGGCCTCAGGTCCGCGTGACAATGTGGGAGGAGGGGTCGGGCTCCCGGGGCGGGGCTGGACTCCCAGGCCCAAGGCGAAACCGAATGACCGGGGCGTGGCCGAGCAGCCAGAGGGCGGGGCGCGAGGAGGCCTCAGCTGTCCCCGCCAGGCAGTACCCTGCGCCGCGCCGTGGCAGCTCAGCTCCGGCTAGCGTGGTGGGGATCTGCGGGAGCCTCCCTTCACCCCCACTTCTGGGGTCACTGCCGTGAGTGCGCCCAGCGGGAGGACTTGGGGGGGGTTGCTGAGGGCACACACTCCCTGAACTTTTGCTCCTACCAATAAGTAATGGGGCGAGCCTGGGCACCTGAGCCTCTCCTCGGGCCACGGTTCCCAGCGGGCGACCGGCCCCTTGACCTCAGTCTGTCCCTTCGGACATTGTAGCTGTAGCGCTGGGTGGGTGTGGAGTATTCTAGGCTGTCGGCGCAGTCACTCGATTCCGCCGGATCCCGGCGCTGGGCAGGGCAGGGAGATGGGCCGGATCGAGTTGCCTTTGACATTTCCACCCCCACCCCCCCGGGAACTGTGTTCGACAAACGACTCCGCTTGGAATGGCTTCCCCTCTGTTGGGCCAGGCCCGGCCCTCCCCCTCAGACCCGGCTAGGGGCTGGCAGCCAAGACTGAGGTTGAGTGTCAAGTAGGGAGAGGCTTGGCTAGGGCAGACTCCACCTGCCGGCATTAGCCTGTGGTTGGCCAGATGGTGGAGGCGGCAGATTACAGGGGTCTCTAGCGCCACCATTAACACCGGAACCACAGTTCCTCCCCCACAGCCCCAGGACCAGATGCCATTAAAATTGCCCCTTTCCCACCCCCAAGAAGCCTTCCTAGAGCAAGCAGCCCTTGGGAAGACAGGCCTCACCACACCGGTACCCCACACCCACCTGATGGAGGCCGGTCCCACCCTCTTGGCCACAAAGCTCCTTTCCTCTGCTGTATTGAGACAGCCAGTCAGACCATTATCTCCCATCTCCTAAAACTTATCCTGTGGAGGGTTAAGCTGGGATTTTGGATTCAGACAACCTTGCTACTGGATGACTTCAAACAATTTCCGTTTTCTGTTTGGCCATTGTTTCCTCAGCTGTAAAGTGAGCATTGCAGCCATGGCTCCATTCGGCATCATTGTTAGGGCTGGATGCTGTGGTGGCTTTGGAAAGACCAGCCCAGGGCCTGCATGCAGTGGGTGCCCAGGCCTGTAGGCTCCCGTCCTTCATCAAAGAACCTCAGAATCCTAGAAAGTTAAAATTCTCAGAATCAGAAGTGTTGGGAAGAGTTTTTGAGGTCACCTTGGTGGCCTCTCCAAACCTCCAGGGGTTATGAGATGGGCTGACTTAATATGTAAGTTTCAAGGATAAGGGCTCTCTGTCTTATTCCAATATGGAGTCTTTTCCCTATTCCCTTAGTGCCCAGACTGGGTCCTTGGTTGTCTTGAATGAATCAGTGTACAGCAGGTCTGGCCTGGGCCACCTAAGGCCTTCTTTGGGTTCAGCCTAGCTTGAGGGCATGAGCTAAAGGCCACTGCCTGTATTTTCCAGGAGGGCTTTTCTAGCCTGTACCTACAGGAAGGGGAGTCCACAGCGAGGTGCGGGAGTTTTGAAAGCTAAGTTGGGTGGCCTGACAGGAAGAGAATAAGAGGCTGTTCCAGACCAGCTGGAACTGACCAGCTTAGGGAGTGGGGGAGAGGGAACACAGAGAATGAGGCCCTGAGATAGCACCTCCCTGGTGGTGGGGGGAGAGCATTGTGGGGAGCTGTATACTGACATCTGGGATCAAAATTCTGATCTGCACCTGGCATTCTTGAGAGTCTCTTCATGGGAGAGGCAGGGGAGGTGAGGACCCTGAGCAGTTCTGGCATCTCCTAGGAAGCCACTGGGGACTTAGAGACAGACGCTGGCATCTGGGAGGAGGCTAATTACTGTTTGCCAGTCTCCCTCTCTCCTTCCCCCCAGCTGGAGCAGATGGGCAGCCAGCTGGCTGGCAGTGAGTATGTCTGTGTGTGCACCTGGCTGGTGCTAGTTCTTTGTTGGACCCTGCCCCAAGGGCTGGGACAGGAAGTATCAGTGGCCTTGAGCAACAGATTGGGACACACACCTCCCCCCAGGTCTATGGTTCCCTGCAGTCATATCTGGATGTTTAGCATACAGTGGGTGAGAGTGTATGTGTGTAGTGGGGGAGGGCAGGTCTCATCCCTGGAGAGCTGGTAGGTCGGAGAGAGACACTGGGCCAAGAGGGGTGGGTGAAATCTCCTAAAGCAGATGGCCTGAAGGATTTAGGTTGAGGGAGAAATGAGCTGGTAGTCACAGGATAGGCCTGGCTGGAAATGGAATCAGAAAGGCAGATAAGACCACATCATGCCTTGGGCCTCAAGTGCAAAGCTTACACTTCTGCACCTCCTCATGGGGGTCATAAGCAGCTCTCTGGTAGTCTGATAAGTGCTTTAGAAAGATCACTGTGGTTGCTGTGAGCAGCAGGCATTGAGGGGAAAGAAGTTGGGAGCAGGGAGGCCTCTTGGGGAAGGGTTGCAATAATTCAGAGGAGAACTGGCAGAGCCCAAACTATAGCAGGTGCAGCAGGACAGTGGGTGAGTGGTGGAGGAAAGTCAGGAGGTAACTGGCCCACAGATGTGGTGCTGGGAGCAGCGCAGGAAGGTGGGCAAGGAAATGGACTTGAAGAGAGAGAGATCGACAGCTGAGAGCAGGGTGGAGTTTGAAGGCAAAGAGGGGGAGATTTGAGAAGCCACCATAGCTCCCATGCTAGGCTCCTGACCCCAGCCATAATGTCCAACCCAACACCGCCTCCCTCCAAACCAGGCTATAGGGCTGAGTCTGGCCTTGTGTATCTTCTCTAATCTCCAGGTTTAACTGGGCTTCTGACTCAAGATTCAATTCCTTACCTGAGCTGTTCCCCTCTCTCCTCTCCCGCTCCGGGGACAGGGAAACCAGCCTACTGCCTTGTTAAAGGTCTCAAGGAGCTACTGGATTATCCCCCCTCCTCCACCATGGCCACATCTCTGGGAAACCAGGCCCTCTCCAGATCCCTCCCCTTCTCTTCAGCCTGAACTGCTGCCCTGTGTGATCCAGGGAGACCTGACTTATTCTGTGATCCTGGACAGCTCCCAGACCCTGTCTGGGTTTGTTCCTCCACCAGGAGAATGGGGATGCATACCATCTGCCCCTCCCCATTCAGAGTCCTGACTAATTTTGGCAAGCACCGGGACCCATGAGAAAGGGAGGGTAAGACACAGACAGATTGTCCTGGTAAGATTCAACCCCTACGTCCCAGCCCTTACGTCCCGGTATACACCTTCCCAAAGTATACATCTCTTCTTTCCTGCTGCAGCAAACGGAAATACTATGGAATGAGAAAGCTCCGATCCACCTCTCTCTTCCCCTTCCAGACTCAGGCAGGCCAGGTTCAAATGGGCTTTTTTGGGTCGCCCCACTGCCCGCTCCTTCCTTAACTGGGGGCTGATGCCCCACAACCCTCAGGAGAAGAGCCAGGCCTATCCCCGCCGCCACCTTGGGAGCCACACAGGCCGTAAGAGCCCTGAGGCCGCCGCAAGCGCAGCCATGTACACCTTCGTGCCTGACAATTTCTCGCCTTCCAAGCCCAAGCCGTCCAAGGAGCTGAAGCCGCTGCTGGGCTCCGCGGTGCTGGGGCTGCTGCTGGTATTGGCCGCGGTCGTGGCCTGGTGCTACTACAGCGCCTCTCTACGCAAGGCGGAACGCCTGCGCACCGAGCTGCTGGACCTCAACCGCGGCGGCTTCTCCATCCGCAACCAGAAGGGCGAGCAGGTCTTCCGTCTGGCCTTCCGCTCGGGAGCGCTGGATCTCGACTCCTGCAGCCGCGACGGCGCCCGGCTAGGCTGCTCGCGCACAGCCGACGGGTGCCCGCTGCACTTCTTCATCCAGACTGTGCGGTCCAAGGACACGGTCATGTGCTACCGCGTGCGCTGGGAGGAGGCGGTGCCGGGGCGCGCCGTGGAGCATGCCATGTTCCTGGGAGACGCGGCGGCGCACTGGTACGGCGGCGCTGAGATGAGGACGCAGCACTGGCCCATCCGCCTGGACGGCCAGCAGGAGCCGCAGCCCTTCGTCACCAGCGACGTCTTCTCCTCCGATGCGGCTTTCGGAGGCATCCTCGAGCGCTATTGGCTGTCGTCGCGTGCGGCTGCCATCAAGGTCAATGACTCAGTGCCCTTCCATTTGGGCTGGAACAGCACGGAGCGCTCGCTGCGGCTGCAGGCGCGCTACCACGACACGCCCTACAAGCCGCCCGCCGGCCGCGCCGCAGCGCCAGAGCTCAGCTACCGCGTGTGCGTCGGCTCGGACGTCACCTCTATCCACAAGTACATGGTGCGGCGCTATTTCAACAAGCCGTCGAGGGTGCCAGCCCCCGAGGCCTTCCGGGACCCCATCTGGTCCACGTGGGTGCTGTACGGGCGCGCCGTGGACCAGGACAAGGTGCTGCGTTTGGCCCAACAGATCCGCCAGCACCGCTTCAACAGCAGCCATCTGGAAATCGACGACATGTACACACCTGCCTATGGTGACTTCGACTTCGACGAAGCCAAGTTCCCCAACGCCAGCGACATGTTCCGCCGCCTGCGCGAGGCCGGCTTTCGCGTCACGCTCTGGGTGCACCCGTTCGTCAACTACAACTCGTCGCGCTTTGGCGAGGGCGTGGAGCGCGAGCTGTTCGTGCGCGAGCCCACGGGTCGGCTGCCCGCGCTCGTGCGCTGGTGGAACGGCATCGGCGCGGTGCTCGACTTCACGCGCCCCGAGGCCCGCGACTGGTTCCAGGGGCACCTGCGGCGGCTGCGCTCGCGCTATGCACTGGCCTCCTTCAAGTTCGACGCCGGCGAGGTCAGCTACCTGCCGCGGGACTTCAGCACCTACAGGCCGCTGCCCGACCCCAGCGTCTGGAGCCGGCGCTACACCGAGATGGCACTGCCCTTCTTCTCGCTGGCCGAGGTCCGCGTAGGCTACCAGTCCCAGAACATCTCGTGTTTCTTCCGCCTGGTGGACCGGGACTCGGTGTGGGGCTACGATCTGGGACTGCGCTCGCTTATCCCCGCGGTGCTCACCGTCAGCATGCTGGGCTACCCGTTCATCCTGCCCGATATGGTGGGTGGCAACGCGGTGCCTGAGCGCACGGCGGGCGGCGGCGATGTGCCCGAGCGCGAGCTCTACGTGCGCTGGCTGGAGGTGGCCGCCTTCATGCCCGCTATGCAGTTCTCAGTCCCCCCCTGGCGATACGACGCCGAAGTGGTGGCCATCGCGCACAAGTTCGCCGCACTGAGGGCCTCGCTCGTGGCGCCGCTGTTGCTTGAGCTAGCGGGTGAGGTCACCGACACGGGCGACCCGATCGTGCGCCCCCTCTGGTGGATCGCGCCCGGCGACGAGACGGCGCACCGCATCGACTCGCAATTCCTTATCGGGGACACGCTGCTCGTGGCGCCGGTGCTGGAACCCGGCAAGCAGGAACGGGATGTCTACCTGCCGGCGGGCAAGTGGCGCAGCTATAAAGGCGAGCTTTTCGACAAGACGCCCGTGCTGCTCACTGATTACCCCGTCGACCTGGACGAGGTCGCCTACTTCATCTGGGCACCCTGACCCAGCCCGGAACCCGGGAACCCCACAGCCCTAACCCCAGTCTTCATGCGGGCCTTTAACCCTTTATCACAACCACATCGTGTATCCCCAGGAAGTCCCCATCTCTGTACCACCCACTGACAGGGTGCTCAGGTAAACGTGCCTGAGCCAGCTCCTGCTAGGCCAGGGGAGGGGGCGCTGGAACAACCGCCCACAGCAGCCACGATCCTAACAGCCCCCTTTCCCTCCACACTCCCTCCAGTCTGCAGAAACCTCTGCCCTGGGGTGGGGGCGAAAGCTCAGAGGAAGGTGGTCAGCTCTCTTCCTGCTACACACGGGTGAGTTTTAAAAGCACAAAGAGAAAACGCCCTCCATCCTGGCCTGCAGGGCCATCTTTGTCCTTCTGAGGTGGGGACTTGATCCTCCTTAAGGTCTAAAATAGCCCTCACCACATTTAGAAATGGCATGTTCTTGGTGTTGGAAGCCAGGCCCTGAGTTCCCAGTGCTGGCCTGAACTGTGGCTGACCTGGTTCCACCCCAGCTGGGGAGAAGGGATGGAGGTGCTTGGCCAACTGACAAGGAGGCAGGAGGTCCCCTCCCAGAAGACAGGAGGACTGGGCTCAGCACGGAGCCGTCATTGTTGTCCCTCATTTGTGAAGAGACTCCTAACACTGCACTAACCTGTCTGTGTACACACAGGGGCTCAGCCCTGGGCCGGGCCATGGCCTGATGGGCAAGCACTTGCAAGGCCATGCAGGCCAGACTTGGTGCCTTAACTCAAGGACCTGTGTGTATGTGTGTGTGTGTATGCGTGTGTGAGTGTGTGTGTGTGTGTGTGTGTGATGAGACAGAGAGAGAGGCACCATGTGTCCCTGGATCTATGGAATGAACACAATACACCTAAGGCTGGATAAGCCTGGAGGAAGGAGGCAGGGAGCAAATTCAAGGTTTTGATTGTTGAGTTGCAGCCCCCCTCCAGGTGATGTCCCTGGGACTCTGGCAGGAAATAAACAGTCCTTCCAAGATTCCTCAGCTGCCTACTCCCTGCACACGTGGCAAGGGTGTGACCTAAAAGTGAGCGACGGTCTTATTCCGATGGTGGTATGCTTCAGCATAGGAACTGCTCGCACACATCGACACCTGCAAATACACATACACGGTAAGGTCACTCAGCCATTTCCCCTTTCTGAGAAGCACAACCTTGGCCAGAGTGAGTTTTTACTGACTTTGTAGCTGAGTCGGGGGAAGGAGTGGCTGCCGGAGGGGGAGGTGGGAAACAGGGTAGGGCTCAGCTTCCCTGGACAGCTTGGACAGCAGAACCAGTCCCTCACCCCCTAGAGAATGCATCCCTTTGCCCACTCCTCCACCCGCTCTATTTTCTCAATGCGAAGAATGCCTAGTGAAGGTTTGGGTGCACTCATAGATGCCCATCTCGAGTGCTGATTCTATCCCTCATCTACAAGCTGTGTGACCCTGAGCAAGCTGCTTAACCTTGCTGAGCCTCAGTTTCCTCATATGTAAACTGGTGATAATAATGCCTACCTCCCAGGTTGTTGTGGGAATTATAAGCACAGATGTATGCCAAGTGCCTGGCACAAGTAGGTGCTCAATAAAAGGTAGCTATTATAATACTAGTTCTTGTTTTCTTGCTTAAAAACGACAAGAATTTTTCCAGGCCCCACCTCCCAGCCCAACTGGCTTCCTCTGGGCCTGCCTGTGATACTCTCTTCCCAAACCGCTACACATAGTACCTACCTGGTTGAACTCTGAGTTTGTGACCCAAAGGACACTGTGGCCCAGGAGAAAGGCAAGAAGAGAAATATCTTTTTTTTTTTTTTTTGGTGAGGAAGATTGGCCCTGAAATAACATCTGTTGCAAATCTTCCTCTTTTTGTTTGAGGAAGATTGTCACTGAGCTAACGTCTGTGCCAATCTTCCTCTATTTTGTATGTGGGATGTCGCCACAGCATGGCTTGTTGAGCGGTATGTTGGTCTGTGCCCAGGACCTGAACCCACGAACCGTGGGCTGCTGAAGCAGAGTGTGCAAACTTAACCACTACGCCACCACACCGTCCCAAGAGGAGATGTATCTGAAAGGGGGATATCAGGAGCCAGGATTCCTCGGTCCCCAGGAGATGGGGAGTAAAATGGAAGTAGCTTCCCTCTCCATTTGGTCAAAAGCATCTACCAATCATGAGGCTCCATGATGAGCCTCTGCAGGCCCTGGTGCCCAGCCGTGTGCTGTGCAGTGAGAGTAGGAGGAGGACACCCGGGCTGGGCCCTGGAATGTTCCCTAAATGGCTGACCATTTAGGGAACATTCCCTAAATAGAGAGCATGACTCACACTTGAATGGCCCTCCAACCTACTGTGCAATCTGAAGCCAGTTCACCTAACCCCTTGAGCTTTGGTTTCTTCATCTTTAAAATGGAATATCTACGGGCCGGCCCTGTGGCTTAGCAGTTAAGTGCGCGCACTCCACTGCTGGTGGCCTCGGTTCGGATTCCGGGCACTCACTGACGCACCGCTTCTCCGGCCATGCTGAGGCCGTGTCCCACATACAGCAACTAGAAGGATGTGCAGCTATGACATACAACTATCTACTGGGGCTTTGGGGGAAAAATAAATAAATAAAATTATTAAAAATGGAATACCTAGGATTAGTGAGATGTGTCAGTAAAACACTTATGCAAAATTGGCAGAGTGCTCAATAAATGGTAACTCACCAATTCTTATTCTAAACAAGGAACAAAGAAAAGCTCTGCCTAGAACCTGTGCCATCCAATATGATAGCCACTAGCCACATGTGTCTTCTTCAATTTAATATTAAAATTAAGCAAAATTTAAAATCCAGTTCTTCAGCCACATTTCAAGTGTTCTAAAGCCATGTGTGACCAGTAGCTAACATATTGGACAGTGCGGATTATAGAACATTTCCATAGTTGCAGAAAGTTTTACTGGACAGCCCAAGACCAAGCAGTGTGTGCTGTCTGAGATGGCATGGGGAGGGATAAAGTAATCTGAAAGGCTGAAGTAATTTGATGTGGAGGAGGAGGGGTACCCTGTAGAAGGGCATTGAGGGCAGGCAGCAGTGTCTTACATCCTAGTGGGGGACACCATGCCCACTGAGCACTCACTGTGTGCTGGGGCACGGCTAAAAAGAAGAGTGCCTGTGTCTGGCCAAATTCCAGCAAACTGGCCCTTGGCTTGTGATCTGGTTTCTTTCTTTCTTTTTTTTTTTTTTGTGAGGAAGATCAGCCCTGAGCTAACATCCGATGCCAATCCTCCTCTTTTTTGCTGAGGAAGATTCCTGGACTAACATCCGTGCCCATCTTCCTCTACTTTACGTGGGACGCCACCATAGCATGGCTCGACAAGCAATGCGTCGGTGCACACCCTGGATCCGAACCTGCAGAATCTGCGAACCCAGGGCTGCCACAGCAGAGTGCGCGCACTTAACCACTGTGCCACCGGGCTGGCCCCTGTGATCTGGTTTCCAGTCTGGCCTCTACTACCATTGACCTCGTTAATCACAAAAGCACAGATGAACAAATTGAAGAAAGGAGGGCGTTGGCCTGAACTCACACAGAAGATTAGAAGACTGGACTGGAACCTGGTGCTCTGCGTCCAGACACCTAGAATCTCCCACCCACCATTCACCCACTGTTCAAGAGCATGGCCCAGTCCCGGCCTGTATACCTCCAGGGATGGGAGCCAGTTGAATTGTGTGTCTTTGAAGCTGCCACCCAATGGGCCTGATTCTTGGCCAAGAAGTGTTTCCCTTCCCCCATGACACCAAAAAGGAGAAGTGTAAGAAGTTGGCGTGGGGGCTAGAATGGCAGGAGCCATGAGAAAGAGCTGAGTTTTAGAGATGGGGAGGGGAGGGAAGCGGGCTGGAAGCTATCTCTAACCTATTCCCCAGGAGGCTAGGAACTCGGGCCCTTCCAGCCTTGTCCAACCCCCTAATTCTGCCAGCAACTCTTGTGCATTCCAAATTTATCTCTCTACACATCTGGATGGGGGCTTCCCCTCCTCCATGGAGCTTCCAGCAGCCTTGTCATGGCTAGAATTCTTCGTTGATCTCATACCCAGCATGTACCCCTGGGCTGGTGGTGGGGGCTGATGTGGAGGAATGGGGAACTCCTTTCTCCAGAGGTAATGGGGAGGGATTGAGTAGCCACTGCAGGAAATCCGGGGCTGGGCCTAATGTCCCCATTCTGTGACTCTGTGTGCCCTGAGTGTCTGCCTCAGTTTCCCTTCCTGTGCCATATGAATCAGCTGAACCCTGGCCAAGCCCTCTCTCAAAGCCCAAGATGTGAATTTTCTGGGAGGGTCTTTACCCTTGTTCCCTCAGATTTGGGTCAAGTGTCTCTCACCCTGGCTGGCTCCAGAACATTCTTCTTCTGCTGGTTCCCTTCACTGAGCTTACTGGTCCCTTCTCCCCACATGAAATCCAAGGTCAACGTTGACTTCTCCATCCCCTGGCCACTATTCCACGTTGGACATTATCAATTCTAGCCTGGACCACTGCAGTGGCCTCCTAACTCTTTCCACTCTTGGATCCTTTAATCCAATCCACATAGCAGCCCAGGAAAGCTTTCTGAAATTCAATCATGTCACTTAGGAAAAAATTCAAACTCTGGTGTTCAAGGCCTCTAAGATCTGAATCCATCTTGAACCTCTGTTTCTGTTTTGCTCACACACACATACTTATGAGCATATTTTGAAAAGCATTTGAAGAAATACTACCTTCTATTCTGGGAACAGCTGCACAGCTCATCCGTGCAAGGGGAGGCCTGCCAGGACCCAGCCTCCAAGAAAACTGGAGCGGCAACTGGGTGATTTGGGCGATTTCCCTTCCTGCCATTGTCCTACTCAGTGGGACTTCTGCTGACACCCTCCCCTCTCTGGCACACACCCCAGCTCCCAAGGAACAACCTGGTTTTTATCATAAGGCTAGCCATTTACTTCATCATGCCCAAGGATCTTTCCAGCAGCTTGATGGAAGGGGAGAATTCTTTTTTTTTTTTCCAATGTACTTCGCCATTTTAATGGAATATAGAGGAAAACAGCAGCTGACTTTCTCTCTGTTTTTTTAATTGAAGTATAATTGACATAACATTATGTTAGTTTCAGGTATACAACATCATGATTCAATATTTGTATATATTGCAAAATGATCACCACAATAAGTCCAGTTAACATCCATCACCATACATAATTACAAAAAAATTTCTTTTCTTGTAATGAGCACTTTCAAGATCTACTCTCCTAGCAACTTGCAAAATGCAATACGGTATTATTAACTATAATCACCATGCTGTACATTACATCACCAGGACTTAGTCATTTTATAATTGGA